TATTTTATATATAAATATATACGTCGGCGGTAGCGGCGTCCGCATACTTTTCCCTGATGGCGCGTGCGTGTGCAATGTGTGCGGTGTTCGCTGCATACTATGCCGCGCAGTGACGGACTCGCGAGTTTTCGCACCCCGTCCTTTCGTAGTTGCCACTTGTCTTTTTCTTTTTCTTTTTTTTTTTTTTTTTTTTTTTCCCTAATCAAAATTGACTTTTTTTATTCCCCGGCAAAAAATCAAACTATAGATACCTACAATTTTCATTATAATTGCATGCTAAGAACCGCGACACATTTTATCTTTTCACCTTCGCGAATCTATTGATTTGATTAATTTGACGAAGGCATGTTTTTCTCGGTTTTTCTCAGATTACTCTGTTCTTCCATAGATCTTTGTTCACCCTTGGCACCGTTTCAATTAACTGCAAAAACTTGCCACTCGTGATGCCCCTGAAAACAATTTTTTTTTTTTTTTTTTTTTTTTTAATTACGCATGAATAACTGTGGGTACACATTAATATCTACAAGCAATCGAGGCGTTTATCGGGGAGCTAATGAGTCAGGCTAATAAAATATTTGAACGCTACATACCTGCGTGCTTTCTCTGCAAACGTCGTACGTATATACGGTGAGGCACTACTGGAATTTAAAAAAAAGTGGCTTTTGATACGACGTAATTACAAAAGCACTCATTTCGGGGAGTATTCAATATTTTTGGTCGATGAGTTCCGAATGACTACATCCGCAGTACATATTATTATGCCGCTGCTTTTGTTCGATGAATGAAAACAATTGTCTCTTGCTACAATGGCACGTTCGTGATTTTACTATAAATACACAACGTATGGTCTAGACAAAATATAAAAATAAACGATCGTTTTAACTGGGCTTAATTAAGATAAAACCGTGTACATTCTCTAAACGCATTTTAGTGCCCGTCCACGTCGTTTTGTCGTTGTTTTATTTGCGAAACTCTTTCTCGTGTCAAAAACACACACAAGCCTAAACGCCCCCTCGGTATAATAATTTGCACGGCTCATATTATAATGTAAGCTCTACGCTCAATTTACATTCCAGCGTGTTATAGGTGATCCTATACTTTTGTTTAATTCATTGTATGCAAATGTGGCGTGTAATGATCGTACGATAATTCGGTAATTGGTCGATATGCGTGTTGTTGACAAACGGCAATGAAATCACAAAATATTGCTTTGAAAATGTTTTTTCGATACTCCGAATTTGATCGATGTTTGCGTAACCACGTGGCAAAGAAGAGATGATAGAAAATCATTACAAATAAAGAACAAAAAAAAAAAAAGAAAAATTGAGCCTCGCGAGGAAAAACTGGAGATGGTGAGACGAAGGGGAGAGAGACGAGCGAGAGGTTTTTTTTTGGTACGGGGAATAATGATAAAGTGATGTGGTGCGAAAATGATGATGAAAAGAGAAAAGAAAAGTCGAGTGATCGGTACCTTTCGGTATGATTGGATTTAGAGCGCAGTGAAATATGCCAAGGAGACGAAATGGGGAGATACCGCTTCCGGAAGGGTGGGACGTCGCGCAGGACTACGACGGAAAGGTGTACTTCATCGACCACAACACGAGGAAGACGACGTGGATCGATCCTCGTGACAGGTGAGTGCACCGTTTGACCATCATTTTCTCGTTTATGTATTTTTCCCTCTCTTCCCCGCATCATCCCCGAGTGTCGAACTCGATTGTTCATTGTAAAGGTATACGAAGGATGACGAGGTTTGGAAAATATATAGTGGTGAAACCGCGTATGTAATTTCATTGTAAGTACATAACTCACGGTTCGACTTTTAATTACATCGAGGGAAAAGTCGATTTGTCAACAGATTATACCGTACACTCCAGATTAGACGTATTATCTTTCGTTTCAATTTTGAAAAAAATAACAATACTGTTTATCCCCTGATATAATTATTGTTATCGTTGCGCGTGACGATGAAATCGTTTATACCTGTAAAATGTATGTTATTGAAACCGGAACAAAAAAATCCATTGGTCACGAACGATTTTTTGTAAACACAGGTGGGTGCATTCTCTTCTTTACATTTATTCAATCGAAACGTTTGATATAAAATAAAACACGAGTGTTGTTCATACACTGCTTGTAAAAGTAAATAGATATAACGATCCTCGCCGATTCTGGCACTCTTTCAAGTGAAAAACCACGTCCCCCTTGTCCTTCGTGTTATTACATTGCTGATAAACGTGACGATGACAAGATCTTTCACGGCCCAATCAAGCCGGGAATTTATATTTTCGTTAACGGTATCCTCGTCGTTATTATAATTAAACTCCACGATCATAATGTATATATATTATTATGTGATATAAACCGAAACACTGGCGTGTTATGTTCTTACCAAGATTTTTTTCGCGCGCACAATAAACAATACCTGTTGTAACGGTGCAAAAATCTCACATATTGTACGCTCGTCGTTCCAAGGTTTCTCATTACTCATTACCCTCCCAGCGCTTCCATCGTCGTCGATCGTCAACCAAAAATCGATTTTTCGATAATTTCCACCTCGATACCTTTTTACGCGAGCATAATCCAAAAGAATACTACGCTAGTATTCAATAATAATGCGAATGCTCAATTTCTACGGCAGTATGGCGCATTATAACACATATAATACATCATAATACACGTTGGTAGGTACAATACACAACACAAAAGAAGCCTATAGAAGAGAGATGGTGTAGTGGGTAATGTATATGTGGTATAGAATTGGCCTCTCTCTGCTTACTCGCTATTTCTTCGTACATGTATATAATAAGTATTTTATATATAAATATATATCCTATACATTATTCGCGTGGTGCGACTCCCTCGATTACGCAAACTAGGAGTGTATAAACTTGATTCGTGTCACGGTCACGTTTTTTTTCGCGGTATAGGTATAATATACATATATATATACCCTGCATTACATGACGCACTCGCCAATATACCCTCGTCGGGGTAAACCATCTGTGACTGCATGGTTGCAAGCTGCTGTATACATATAGGCTTATGGGTGGAAATTCGAGTTGGCCGAAAGGGAGAGAAGCAGAGCTCGTGGGAACGAAACCTTAACGCGGTCGAGATGCTGGCGACTTGTGTGGCTTCACTTCGACTTGGAAGAAAATGCTTGTGGTTTATCGACTTTTCAGGTGGAACAAGAAATGTGTATGCATATTTAAAAAAAAAAAAAAAAAAAAATCCAAGAGTGCATATGGCATATATACTTTTTTAAATATTGAAATAGTATTAATGTCCTCGAAAAATAAAAAAATAAAATAATAATAAGGCGAAGAAACCATGCGTGCAATAGAAATACGACCAAGTAAATGCATACTTTTATCACATGGTTACATGTGTGCGTACAATGTTTGAATGAAATAAAATTGAAAAAGTGTTTTTTGTCACTTATAATGGAGGTCAGACAAATACAAACCCCGAAAAATATAAAACCAAGCAGAATGCGGTCGCCAGTAGGAAAAAAAACAAAAAAAAAAATAAAAATTCCAAGAGTTCAGAAAAAGTAAAAATTACGCCTTGAGAGTCGTCAAGAAGTAGCGTCGGGCGAAAAAAAGTCTTAATTGCGAAAATCTCAAAGATCGCCGGGCTATAGGACACTTTTTGCTTTGCCCTCGACAAACTAATTGCAAAGCGATGAAAATAGAGAGCCCTATGATTTTTTTCCCTTTTTTTTTTTCTTCTGAGCATACTTCATCGTTTTCCTTTGAATGATGCCATTACGTTTGCAACGCTTTTAAAAATAGAATAAATCGCACCAATGATTTCCGTGACAACACTCGTGTAGAAAGCTATGTGTCGTGCTTGCATAATATAAGCTAACGCATCCATGAATCATGAGTACATTCAAATAGCACAAACACATGTTAAATCATAAGTAAAAAACAAAAAAAAAAATTAATTCCAATCAGATAATTTCGTGATGCTATAGAGCAAAACAAATGGGATACCATCAAGACTGCGTGGATGATAAAATTAATGGTTGGTACACCTTGATGAACGAAGAGAAAAACAAGAGTATAATAATTACTAGAGGTGTTACGTAAACGTCGGCCGGAGCTTTGTATAGGATAGCCTTCGATTTGCCTTTGTTGTCTCTCTCGTTCGGGTTTCTGTGTACCTCGTTTATCTCGCTTTACCAGCTTAATGTCTTCCTGTTTTTCTAACACCTATAGATTTTTTTTTTTTTTTTTTTTCGAGCAATTCTAAGGCAAATGCTCGTTTTAAAAGATACACGCTGTGCGATTTTTTTTCCTATTCTCTGTCCTTCTGTGTATACTAAAAAGTATATAATTTTTGATCGAATCGTGATATATAAATATCTTACACGTGGTTTTGAAAACAACATCATCAATTAGAGCTGCTACAACAACAGTTTCTTTATCATCTCGACTCTTCTACGAGTGCAAACTTGAGAACAATTATTTCATCGATTTTTAAACATAATAAAAGATAATGATGTGCTTTTTTGCTAAAAACATTTTTAATCGGTCAATTCGTTAAACAAATGTTTTTTCCAGCAGATAAGTGCAATATATTAAGTATATGTAANCGAATATGCATACCTATTTTTGTGACGCGGATAAAATTGTATTTGTTGTATGTAGGTATATACCGGATGTAAAGGTATTTCACACGTATACGTGACAAAAAGTTCTTTTTTTCCTTCTTTTGAAAATCACTCATGGGCCTTTTTTTTTTTTTTTTTTTTTTCTTGGCACCGTTTCAATTAACTGCAAAAACTTGCCACTCGTGATGCCCCTGAAAACAATTTTTTTTTTTTTTTTTTTTTTTTCAAATGATAAAACGATTTTTTACGTCATGATTATGCGGCGGCAATTCAAATTATTTAGTCTATTTAAATGAAAGAACCCATAGGGTAGGAGGAGGAGGTGGTGGCGGCTAGGAGGAGAGCCTGTGCGCTACAGCTACGTTATTACTGCTAGGCGAAGCTAGTTTACTAGCTTCGCGGTGTATATACTTGCCGCGCCCGCATTCCAAACAACACCAGGGCCGCGAGCGTCAAGCAAGTCTCTCTCTCTTTTTCACATACACACACGCGCGTGCATTTGTACCATACAACCGCACACGCAACGCGAAAAAGCCGAGAAATCCGCGCTCGACTCGGTGTATGTAATGTACGTGGCTGACGGGGATCGGTATAGTAATACGCCTATATACAATGAATACCAGAGTTGGGACGAGTTGTGTGTATGAACGGATGCTCATGATTTTGCGATGGACACGGTATTGGCTTTTATTGCGTTTTATTGTATGGAAATGCGATGTAATGTACAACATGAGAGTGATGGCTTTGTGACACTGCTGTTGGTATAATCGTAACAGTGGAATTAAGTTTTTTAAAACTGTGTAAATGTAATTTTTTTTTTTTTTTCAATTTTTTACCTACGAGAGATCATCGTTATCTTGTAAGAAACGTAAAAGATTAAGCGTGTATACATGGACACGAAATAATAAATCCCTCTATCGATTTTACGACAGAATGAAACATTCATTTGATTAAAAACAAAGTCAATCAGTTCATCGGCAGCGAATCACCCTCTTGATGGTAATGAAGAAGAGGATGAATATATATATTTATGGAGCAGATGACGAGGTACAGGGGTTGGTACGCATCGGCAGTGGTTTCCAGACCTCCAGCACATTACCATCTGCTTCTCATACCCGCGGTTCTCCCCTTTCTCCTACACGTGTGCTGCAGCAGCTCCTTTCTTTTAACTTTAATTTGCGCGTCTCCCTTCCTTCGTTTCTCCATCCACCTAACCTACTCCCCCTACTCCCTTTTCTCCGTTACAGGACTCTGCATTAATAGGTACGGACTCTCGTGCGTTGTCCCATGTGCATCCACGTGTGCTCGAGTCACTTCTCTGTACCAAAGCTGTTTATCTTTTTATTTGATATTATACTGGCCCACAGCTTCATCTTCTCATCAGCTGCAGGTGCTGTGTCACTCCTTTGTCCCTTCCCTGCTGTATACTGCTGGTACCAACAATACTTACCTATATAGTATGGTATACTCAATTTCGCTTCTTCCTTAGATTTGCATGTATAGGTATATTAATTTCTTTGCAAAGTAGCCAAGCACGCTCGGATCTTCTCTGCTTCCTTTTTTCCCGATCCGATCGTATAAGCACCAGTTTACGAGCGTCGAGACTGCGACTCTTTTCCGCCACCACTCGCCGGACCTGAGCGACATTTTTTCATTCTTTTATATTTTTCGAGCTCACCGTTACTTATGGATTCGATTTCTTCCTTTCGCGTGATGTATCACACGATTATTTTCCTCAACTGGTGCGTTAATTAATTTTATTACAACGAGTTGGTGTACCATTGAAATTTAGTGGCCCTCGGTAAAATCAGATGTTTATCAGCAACTTGTTCGATGACTCCCGCAACATCCACCCTATTGCATCGATTAGCAGTATACGCAAAAAGATGTTGCTGTCGCAATATGCGTGCGTGTACGTGTATCTGAAAAGCAAAAGCAAAAAAAAAAAACACGGGACGTCAGCTCCATTTACCAGAGCTTTCGAGTCAAGGTTCCGCCTACTATCATCTCTGA